TGCTGGATTTTCTTCACTCACCACCAGCCAAAAAACAATGATCATCTGTTCACCAGCCAGAGTGGCAGGTGGACAATAAAGTTAATTTCCAACCCCGGTCTTAAGATTATCATAACATTAGAATATGTTACATGATTCTTCAAACACCACCGCACAAAGTAACCTCAATCTAGAGCTCATGCATAGCTACATGTTGAAAAATGAATTCATTATACTACCACAAAACATTTATCACTTGACATGATTGAGTCTGTGCACTCAAAGATGAAATCTGCAGGTTGTGCAACAAACTGGCAATCACTTGTGCTTCAAGCAACAGCTGTATGGGGAAGCTGATGCAATGGATGGAGGAAGGCTACTGTATCACAATAGCACCTTTTAACTTACAAAACAGAGAGAAGCAGCAAAGCCTCACATTTGAGAAGTTAAAACCAGTATTGGCTGTATCAACAGCATTGTCTTGACAAATCACTTTCTACAGCTACTAAAATTGTTGGTAATTAATTTGTTTTGATTGATTAACTGTTTCGGGACTACAAGTGTCATGAAATGAGCTGGCAGGTGTTGTGTTTATACTGGTGTTCTACTGTGAACTTTCAAAAACAGACACAGGCAATGAACACAGATGGTCCCTGAAAACCTCTCTTCTGTGTTGATCCTGTGCTTCTTCAACTTTTCATTAATCCATCCTCTGCCTCTGTAGGCAGGAACAGGGAGGTCTTTCTCACTTGCTAACATTTGTTGCTTTGAAAACATCTCAACAGGACCGAAAGAACACCAGTGTGGCAATTCACACCAGTGACCAACTAAAAGCTGGTTGGGGAAACTTTTGTGTATCTTAAAGCCTTTTTACACAGAGATTGCATTATAGGGCAGCTACAAAGTCCCTTCTTTATGCCTCCTTTGCACAGAACCCAACAACAGTGGCATCATTCTGCTCCAGTGAATGATTGCCATTAGCAGAACCAAACCAACAGCATCAGCCTCTCACGTGACATATAACACATGCGTCGGGAACGCTATCTAAACAATAGCAATAGCATAACATGGCAACAACTGAACCAAACTGAGCTAAACCGAATCTCGTTGTTTTCCCAATTTGTGGACATTTTCAGACGCTGTTTTTCTTCTTTGAGTTAGTCGCTAACTGCTAACAACTGCTTTTTACATTTCCCGCGGTGGGTCACACACATAACACGCCAAACGTCACACCCTTCCTGCCAGCTGTTGTTTATACACACACTGATTCAGCAATTTAACTCCCTGTAGCAGCATAACAGCGTGTTACTCCCACTTTGAACAGGCACTGCAAAAGGGGCTAAATACTGTCCCTTTGTAGGCTAAAAGGTGACATAACATTTTAACTGAACAATATCAATTAAATGAATCAGTGTACTCACTTCCATCCAAAAGCCATTTTCATGCTGTTCTGGTTTTATTTTTATATGCTCTTTGTACTATGCATACTGTTATACTTCTAAATTATTTTTAATCAAATTTTTACTGTTTTGGCTTAAAACACTATATAAGTTATTATCATTATGACATGAACACTGTAGATTTATAAATTAAATGTAGATTAAAAGGGTCCCTGGTCTTTAACACACACACACACACACACACACACACACACACACACAAACCTTAATGTACGGCTCATCCAGTATTGGACTGCCATCGTGGTGTTGACTGCTACCCTGGGCAGACATGTCGCCACTGTTCTCCTCCACCGAGCGAACTGCAGGACTGTGTGGGTGCCCAGGGGAGGGTCGGCTGGTGGGAGGAGACGCACCAGAATAAACGCTTGCGCTGACAATCAATGGCCGAGGCTGGCTCTCCTCTGAAGTCATCTACAGGAAGGTAAGGACAAAGTATACATTATGAGATTGAAAACAAATACTTTTTCATCACTGCACAAAACATGTAAAAACTAGAATGAATATTATTTTTATGGATTACTGACCTTTGGTGGACTGGGGCTTTTCAGCTGCACATACTTCTTCAATGCTCCTCGACAGCGCTCCACAATATGCTCCATCTGTAAGTAGCTGGCAGCGGTCAGGTAGTTGACAATCTCCTCTGGGTTAAACTGCAGGACGCCAGTGTAACAAGACTGAAGGAGATCACACACCACTGAGGAGCTGTACAGCATCGACACCTGGGTAAACACGTGAAATAAATAACATACAGAAGCACTGTTGAGACATGATGACAAAGTTGATGTTAGGCTCGTTTGAGATGAACTGCGCCTCGCCTGGAAAGTGGACGAGAGCAGGCGGCTACAGCAGGGGGTGGTGCAAGCTGCGGTGAAGTCGGACAGTTTCCTGAGAGTTTCCAGCAGCCTTTAGTCCGTACAGGAAGTCACAGAAACATTCACATCCTGTCCGATATGATGTAAATTTATTAAAAACCAGTTTGTTCTCAGTCTCCACTCGTTTTAATTGTAATAGACTGATTTATTAAAATGTTTTACAGGCAATCTGTGATTTATGTTCATGGCTCAATCTCCATTTGGCATGAATTCTCATGTAAATCAGCATCATATTAATTTGCTGCTGCAGAGCAGACCTGTCCCTTCAACTACAGAGGCTAAATAAATTGTGTCTGACTGTAAGGTTAATATTTTCAGAGTAAAAAAAAAAACAAAAAAACAAGACAACCCCGCCTCGCTCTCCCGAGATTATCGCTGTCCATTTTTGTATGACGTCAGAGCAAATCTGGGTGAAGTCCGACACAAAACTAAGTGTCATGTATTGTGCGGTGATCACCGGTGATCAAATCTGCGCATGCCTGGCTCATCTCGAACGAGCCTAGTGTGACATTGTGTGCATTGACATTTGTGTACCTGAAGCTTGGGGGAAGGGTTGAGGAGGAACTGGTCCCTTAAGAAGGGCGAGCAGGCTGCCAGCACCACCTTATGCCCCCTGAAAGTCTGGTTATTACTGGCCACAATGGTGATGTCACAGAAATGCTGACGAGACCTCAGTGAATTCAGGTGCTTCAGGGTAGTGTCCCCGTGCCCCGGTAACCGAAAACACAGCATCTCCATCTTTCCTGAAGAGAGGGAAAAAAGGCATAGTTATCACAATTTAATCTTTAAATCTTTCAAATTACAGATTAAAAAAGCAGACACTCAGAGTGTTCAATACAAGGTACATTATGGCCACATGATCTGAAACACACTGAGACCTAAGACGGCTCATGTTCCTGCGTAGCCCCACATGAACTCAAGATTGCACTGTAGCAGAACCTGGAATGCAGTCAGACAGCGTATATGTTTGGACTGTAAAAAGTCAAATGCTCAGAGTATATAGCATGACTATAAGCTAGTTTTTCTTCCTATGTGAAATCTGGCACTTAAAGGATTGTTTCTTTGGAGAGAACTAGTTTCATACATGCATATATTTAAATTGTTGGTCACTCTGAATAACATAAATGTCTGTCTGACATCAGCCTTTTGAATGAATAACAAAGGTGAAATGATTAGTCAGTTGACACAGATATTAGCCAATCTATTTGGTAATCAATCATATCCCCTTCTCAAATGTGAGGATAAGCAACATTATTTCATCACATATGATAGTAAACCTAATATCTTTGGGTTTTGGACTGTTGGTCATATATTTGAGGAAATCTAAAAATGCCACTTTGGGCTCTCTGAAATCGTGATGTACATGTTTCACTATCTTATGAAATTTTAGGACAAATCGAGTAACTGAGAAGATAACTGTCAGAGTTATCTACTGTATATTGAAAATAAATGTTTGTTGCTGCCCTTCTGTAGCATCCTATCCTTACCTGCAGTACACATCCCAAATACTAATAAATCATCTAGCTGGCTCACATCAAATATTAGAAACTAACTGATGACTGATGATGTCTCAATAATAGTAATGAAGTGATCATAAAAAGAGATCATTTAATTTATCTTAAGGGAAATTGCTGTGCTGTAGTTGCAAAACAAAGTGGGATATTTAGCATATTTTCATTCATATTAAATACATTATATTTTTAAATGGGCAAACTACACCTACACGTGCAGCTTTGTGAGTAACATGGTCATGTAATGAATAACGATATAATGAATCAAGCAAACATAACCAGTCACAGAACATTTATTCAGACTGAACAGTAAAGAATAAACCCAAATTCAGAGCATTTTAATGCAGCTTTAAGAGCAAAATTTAAGCTGCACCAGGAATCTATTACTCACTTCATGTGGTGGTAATGTAATTCAATACAATACAGGTAGATGGTGTCCAGTTTCACATCACTATATGGACATTTCGTCGACGAGTTTTGACTCGAGGGACGTTGAAAAGTTAGCTAACCTATGTTAGCATAAGGAAAGCTACAAAGACTCAGCATTGATTGCGTTTTAATTAAGAGTAGTGAAGTCTATCATAAAATGAGGCTATTTCATGTTCGTCGACTGCCGTTAAGAGAGAGAGATCACAACACAGTGGTTTTCGTCCTTTACCTCTGGCCTAATGTGTCTGAACGTTAGCTAGCGTTAGCTTTTAGTTAGCTTGCTAGTATCTGCTCGTGACCAACCACATTAACAAACAAAAGCTGCCCAGTTACCGTCAAACTTTGCCGTCACTCACCCCTTTCCCCTTTGCTGAAAGTCTCCTGGGCTTTAAAAAAACACAAATGTGGGTTTGTTTCGACAGGACAGCTAACTAACAGTTGATTCAGGTGATGTTAGTAGACGTTAGCTGGCTGTGTTTCCTCATGCCTGCTGCCATTAGCCATCCTTACTACCTCGATTTCTGTTTACTTTTGGCCTCTGTCTGGAGGAAGCGCATCTCGTGACAGTAAACACAAAACGCTGGTCTGTCGCCACTAAACTGACTTTGAGTCGGTTTCTGTGGGAGGCTTTCCCTTGCGGTCAGTCGTAAAACCAGAGTACGCACGCTGACTTCTGATCAGTTGTTTTCAAATCAACGGCCACAGGGGGCGGGGCTTCCGGCTGTGACGCGGCACGTTTATATACACTGACGCGCATCCGCGGAACATGTCGGCATCCGAGACAACGACGAAGGTAGCAAACCCTCTGCAACACTAACTTTACATCTGTTTTAACACTTTAAAACGCATTAGCCCACGTAGCAAAAACACGCCACTAAAGCTACAGTCTACCATAGTGCAAAATATCTTTATTTGTCTGTTATAAGAGCTCTTTGTTGCAGCCTCTGCTACAATGCTAGCCATGCTAGCCTGTAACAGTTTTGTGTTGATAGCTAATATTGCTTTAGTTATTAATGTTTTGCTTATTTTCTCAATTCCTTGCTCTTTACATTACTGTTAACCAATTGTCTTGTGTTGCTTGGTGACATTAGCTGCATTTGTATTGTGTTGTGTATGCTGTAAGCTCAGTTTAAACTGGTTTTTAAAGCTAATGTTCTGAAAACTGATTTTGCACAGCATTGAACTAATGGGGTGATCTCATCAAAAAGGGGGGTTATGAGCAGCTAAGTTGTGAACCCTTATGTTATATTCCCTCCAAATGTTACGGACTATTGTTGATTTGAATTGTGCAAAAAGGCATGAATGGGCTGATTGACTGATGGCGGCTCTTGACGTAACAACAAAGAAGATCAGCCATTGGTTGAAAGGTTTATTCTGGAAAGGAGAATCAGTCACATATAGATGCACTAAACACTGAATTTTGGTGGTTATAAACTCACTAACAGATGTGACAAAAAGGATGCTGATTCAACTGACTTTTATTGACTCAGAATTACTTGTGTGTCTCTGGTGACTACATTTAGTCTCATGAAACACCACACAGATGCATCTTGAGTGTGTTGTTAATCTTGCAGATTTACACTGGAAAAAGAAATCACAAATCATGTTTTGTACGGTGATATATGGCATTCACTGGTAATGATGCTGAAACTAAAACCTGAATCACTAACTTAGTTTTAAATTTGCTTCCTGGGAGTTGTGTTTTTACTAGCAGCATGTGCAAAATATACTTAACCTACTTGTTAATTACTGGTATGTTAATGTACAACCAGAGAGTTCTGTTGTAGAATCAGTGCACAGCTTCGGTTTGAGATTTATGTTATGTTTTACATAAGGTTGCATTACTTCTTGACAAGCCACTAACAAAGAAAATAGAGATGCACGACATGCAAAAAAAACACACCAAAAAAACAAAGTAGATATTTCAATAATTTTGCATTTTATTCTTACCGGAAAAAATAAAATAAAAATGTAAGTTCCCTTACATCTGGCATATGATTTGTAGGTCGGCATGTATCTGTAGCACCACAGTCCTTAATTTATAGTGTTATGTTGTGACACATTTTACCTTTATCAAAAAATTGCAGCTCTTGCATTTTGGACGTTGCAATTGGCCATATCACAATTTTGATACTTTGATTAATTGTGCAGCACTAAAACAGGAAAGCCAATAAATCTGTCTCTCTCTTACCTGTTATTACACAAAGACACTGCCTGGGGTAGCACAAGTTAGTGAATGCACATTTAAGCCACAGTGTGCCTCGGAAGTGCTTCTGCATTTTACGATTCATTGTCAAAAACACAGCAGTTTTGAAATTTAATGCTACTGTGTGTACATCATTACACAACTCCAACTACTGCTAAGTTATTGGCACATTTTTGTAGCTGCTCTAACTGCAATAATGAGAACTGCAGTGGATTATGAAATCCAGCACTCACAGATTCAGATTTTCTGACATGATATTTTTTGTTTCTCTGCAAGGAGCCTCCTGAAAGAAATGACTCAAAAACACCAGCAGAGTCATTATCTGGACCAAGTCAAGTAAAGGAAGGTATGTCTACTGTAGGTCTGTCCCGAATGCCAGCTTTTGGACATCAAAGCTTCATTGATAAATAATAGTGATTAACCAAAGCTTTGGGTGAGGTGGGTGCAGTGGTAAATAAGAGAAACAACATCAGTTGATGCACCTAAATAAGTTGGTAATTAGCAACTTTGTTGGCCTGCATGTTGCAACATAAGCCATAATAGCTGGAAAACAGAATACTTTGCAAGAAAGCTAAGCTGTTACGTAGAGTTTTCAGGTGATTTGCCAAGCTTGTTGTAGATTTGTGACATACAGTAGCGTTTCCTTTGGTGTCTTTGGCACTCAACTTTTGGGGGTCATCTTTGCAAATTCTGAAACCATTTCAGACACTTGATGTTTTCAACATCTTGCTAATGGAGCTTTAATCCTATCACATGTGGTTGAACTGTCCCGGTTTCAGTAGTGCTTGACTGCTAGTGACATTCACAGTAAATGATAACCACATCAACAATCAAAGCTTTGAAGCATCTGGGTCATCCCAAGTCTAGAGCGAGATATATACAAATAAGGCTTGGGCAGCATCAATTACAATACCATCTAAAATACAGACGTGCCTCTTTCTGTTAAACCGATACAAAGATGCCATTTTGGGGCGATCTATTGTAGTGCACAGCACACGCCACCAGAGTACAGTCTCGACTGGTGGAACAGGCAGCGTTTGAATGAAGTGCATTCTACAGCGAGTCAACAAGGAAATTAAGCTAGTCTCAGTTCTGTGAAAGAGAGAAACTTAAATTCAGAGGTGTACGGTTGTATTTTTGGAACTTAGCAAACTTGTGACTTTTTGTGTGGTTTTGTTAGTTCTACTTGTAAAAAAAACTCACAGAGAACTCAAAACTTTTCCAGATAATGCAGCCTCCACCGCAGCTGCTGTTGCCAAGAAGACAGAGCCTATGGGTGGTATGTCATCACTGTTGTTATCTCAGCAGCCTGGGAAAGACACATCTAGAGCTGGAGAGGAGGGAGATAAATGGTCACCTGCCGCCTCCCCAAACAAACCTGCTGCAGGTCAGACTGGAATCCAGTCAGCTTTCATGAGTTAGAGTTAACTCATTTTGATTTGTCTCAAAGCTCTCAGAAAAAAGGCTTGCTCGACTTAATGTGACACTAATTTAATAATAAGCTTTTAGAGGATTTATCAAGCATTTCACATTCATTGTTTTTACCTCCCTCTTTCAGGTCACGCAGCAAAGTCCATTTCATCGACAGCCCCCTCTTCGTTGTCATCTCCTTCTACATCTTCAACATTGTCCCCTGGCCGAGCAAAGATGAGTGTTTCCGGACCTGGCAGTAGTAAATCCGTCCTGGCACCTGCTCCTTCCTCCTCCTCTTCTTCCTCTTCCTCCTCTTCCTCTTCTTCGTCCTCTGCCACAGCTTCCTCATCTCCATCTGTCTCCCCTGGCCCACCCAAGATTCATCGGGCCCGCAAGACCATGAACAGGCCTCCACCAGGGCAGGTGAGCCTGTCTAGCAAATAGTTAGCATCAAATGTGTACCAGCATCTGGTACTACACATTGCATCACCCAGTATCTTTTGATTCTTGATCTAACACTCTTGAAAATGTGTTTGCTGCAACCTTATCACGACCAGTTGAGTCACTGTCTGTTTTTGATTCACAGATGAGCCATGTTGAGCGACCTGTTGCGTCAGTGACACCCTCAGGATCCTCAGACTCTGAGACTGGTGAGAATGTTTACCAGTGTGAAATAATCTAATCCCTATGAATAAATATTTGTCAGTTAGTGTCTTCTGTAAGGAAGACTCATTGTCTTGGTTTATGCTCATGTTTCTGATAGTCGCAAAAAGGAGAAAACTGGGTCATTCATCTAACAGCACACCAGAGAAGTCTGAGAACGTTCCAGAAAATGCTCAAACTATGGTAAAGTTGTGTTTTTACCGGTATGAAATGTACACATCACATCAAGGTAAGGTTTAAGTTCTTAATGTTGTGTCTTTTCTGATTTCTTTTAAAACTCAGGAAGAAACATTATTCCATAAAAAGGTGGAGTCTGTCGCTAAGACTGCGCCAGAGAAGAGCAACAGCGGTGTGAGGAAGTCAGAGGAGGAGGTAGCAGAGAAAAGTGAGATTTCAAGTCCGTCCACGCAAGATTCAGAAAAGGTGCGAGACTTAGTTTTAATTATTGTCCACTAAAAATGCTCCCTCATTGTCCACAAATGCACATATTATTGAGGATAATGTTGCAGCATGTGTGTGTACTGCATTATTTTTATGAAACAAACAGAATGGTCATAGTTTTTCTTCTGTTGAATTCCTTTTTATAGTTTGAAGATGCAGAATTAAGGCAGCACACTAAAGACACAGAGGGGTCAGTGAACATGTCAGATCATGTGAGTGATTCTATTTTATCAGCTTGATAATTACTTTCTTATCTAGTCATAGCTACATAATTTCTTAATTTGTCTTACAACCATCTTGAGCTCAAAGCATAAACTTGTAGTTGGGTCATATTTACATACATGGAGGATAAAGATTGTGCTGACCCATGACTAAGAAGACTGTTTGCTAAAACTTGCTATGTCACACATCACATTTTTATATTCAGACAGAATTTCTCTCTTGCAGGGTTCAGAGTCTGGGACACCGAGAGCTGTCAATAGTAGAAATGAAAGCGAGGAGTCTTCATGGCCGCTGTCAGACCAGGACAGAGAGAGAAACACAGCTGATGTGGTGGAGACAGTGGGAGGTTAGTGACATTACCTGTGGATTTTCTAAAAAAAAGAAAAAAACAGTACAGTACATTGTAGTTGTAAGTACATTGTAAAATGCATTGTGCGAGTGTTCCACCTTTACTGTTAGCCACCCAAATTGTCATTGGTGCAGCCAGTCATGGTCACATAAGCTGAATGGAGATCACCTGTGTCTAATCAAGGTGTGAGAAGTGACAGAGTTTGAATCCTCATATATCCGGAAACTCCAACCAAAAATCACAACACCATGAAGACAAAGAAGGCAGAGAATATTGTAGCAGTGTTAGGACAATCGTTAAAAAATATAAAAAATCTCATACGACATAGAAGCAGACTATCGTCAATAACTGGATGTGAGTGCCAAAAAAGCACTTGTGAGGGAGGCTACAATAAAGTCTGGGGGGACTCTGGAGGGATAAAGAGTTTAAGAACTTGTGGAAGTACTGTAAAATTGTTGTTCACTCACATTCCGTGTAAAAAAGATGTACAAACTGGATACAGACCTGTCCACAACCACTCAAGTCTGTAAATGCTGCCAAAGATACCTCTAATGTTAATTTGAGGGGAGTGAATACAGTTTTTTCTGTTCAAATACTTGATTCAGTGGTAAAAGGTTCCTGCATGTACATCTTATAGTTTGTCTTTTGGCTTGTTCTCAGCAGGAAGGTCCAATGAATACACGGAGGTTCCCCTGGGCGCTCTGGACATCGCTGCTGCAGACAGTCTGACACTTTCTCCTCATCATGGTAGGTTTATGATACATATATGTCATTTGCAATCGGAATTAGTTGAAAATCTTTTTCTTTGTAGTCATGGTAGCATGAAACAAAGCCACAGTTTCCCTAAGAAGCAGACATTTTGGGACAAAAAAAATAAACATATAATTTTTCTGTCAAACAATAAATTGACTAATCATTTCAGTTGTAATATAAATACACATTTAGTATTAAAAACTATAAGAAGTTTATCTCCTTCAGTGTTAAAGGACAGTTATTGTAAAACCATAAAATAACATAAATGATCAAATGTCTCCTCCCCCTGTACAGAAGGAAGCGATGCAGGAGACACAGAGCGGCTGGAGGAGCTTCCTCTGTGCAGCTGCAGGATGGAGGCTCCTCGAGTCGACAGCACTAGCCAGCGTATCAGCAGACAGTGTATGGCCACTGAGAGCATCAATGGAGAGGTTGGTCTTTGTAGATGTGGAGAGCAGCCTCTGTTGGTCTGTGGTAGATTATAAAACTCACAAATAACTTTCCTTCAAGCCACACCTCTGACTGTGTAATCTCGTCTCTCCTGCTCTGTCTGTCAGCTGAGGGCCTGTACCAATCGGACCATTAAAGGAGAGACCATGCGGCCGTCGAGTCGAGTGCCCCTCATGGTGCTTTGTGACGTCCATCGCTCGCACATGGTCAAACACCACTGCTGTCCTGGGTGTGGATACTTCTGCATAGCGGTAAAGGGATTAAACCGCCTACTGTCATAATTACAAATACAAATAGCATATTTAACGTTCATATCCTACTTTATTCTTCTCCCCTTTCTCTTCTTTAATGTCCTACTTTCTTTCACTGTTTCACCTTCTTGATATCCTGTTTTTGTCTTCTTTCTCCTCCTAAATATCTCACTTTCTTTTCCTCTTTGATATGCTTCTTTCCTCCTTTCTTTTTCCTCGATATCCTACTTTGCTTTCCTGGTTCTCTTCCTCTATATTTTACTTTCTTCTCTTCGATCACCTACTTTCTTCTCTGCTTCTCCTCCTAATATCCTACCATCTTCTTCCTTTTCAGGGCACATTTCTCGAATGTTGCCCAGACCAGCGCATTGCTCACCGTTTCCACCGGGGTTGTGTGACAGTGCTTGGCGGCGGACGCAGTAGATCAAACGGCGGTGGCATGCTTTTCTGTCCCCATTGCGGCGAAGATGCCTCCGAGGCCCAGGAGGTCACGATCCCCTCCTTCAGCTCGGCCACGGCCTCCGCAACCACTGTCGTCACCATGTCAGCCTCCTCTACCACCACTCCGTCTCTGCCGCCGTCTGCCCCTACGGCGCCCTCCCTCACAGCCTCAACAGGAGGGATGAAGGACGGGAAGATGCCTGAAAGGCCTGTCAGGTAAGACTGGATAATTTGAGAAAAATATTGGCTGCATTAGACTATAGATAAACTTACATTCTTGCTCTCCTTCACCGCCTCCTCCAGCGCCCGGATGCGTAGCCATGGCTTGATAACACTGGCAGTGGAGCAGCAGCAGCAGCAGCCCCAGCCCCCACAGACTGTCGCCAACGTCCCCCCAGCTGAAGAGGGGGTGGACAGTGTGGGACCTTCTCTCTGTATGCCAAATGGGAAACCCATCAGTCCCAGTGCACTTCCACCTGGGCCCAGCAGGGCGGCGCTGCAGAAGGCCATTCTTACACAGGACACTGAGAGGTTGGAGTTTAGATTTGACTTTTTTAGTCACAATAAATTTAAGGATTGAACAGTGCACTAGATAACAGAGGTGTCGACTTGAGTCACATGACTTGGGCTTGAGTTAGACTCAAGTCATAAATTTTTCTGTTAGCTGTGCAGAAATTCGCTGTATTTGAAAACATTAGATCTGCGGCAGCGGACACTTAACAAATAAATCTAAATCTAAAATCTGCTTTCAGAACAGTTTATTGCAAACACACAGCCACAGGTAATTACAGGTTGCATTGAAATTCTCCAGGCAAAACAAAATATATTTCCAGTTTTGTCTGCTTGTGCTGTTCCAGGGGAAATCATGTAGCTTTCAGTAGACGTGACGACATCAGACAAGTTCAGACTCAATTGGTGATTGTTGTTTTTGATTTTTCCAGGAGGAAGAAACTGAGGTTCCACCCCCGCCAGCTTTACCCTGCTGCCAAGCAAGGAGAGGTGCAGAGAGTACTGCTCATGCTGAGTGAGTGGGCTCACATTTTCCTTTCCGAGTGTTATCAGTGTAAACATTTTTGAAATGTGGAGCATTTGGGTGTTTTGTCTTGGCTGTTTATCCCAAAATAAGATCATTCTGGGATTGTAAACGTGTGTTTGTTTGTTTGTTTGTTTGTTTGTGTGTGTCACAGTGGAGGGCATAGATCCAACATACCAGCCGGACTCTCAGAACAGGCGCTCTGCTCTCCATGCCGCAGCTCAGAGAGGTCTGATGGAAATCTGCTACATACTCATACAGGTGAGAAATTGAGTCCAGTATGAGAATCTGTCTTGTTGGTTTCTTTGCTTTGATTAGTACACATGCTGTTAAGTGGCTGTTACCAAGACTCATAAGAAAAATTGATACTGTTTCCCAAAGTGCCCAAAAAGCTGTTATTGCTGGTCCTTTTTTTTTTTTTTTAAGATTTTTTTTTTTGGGGGTGTTTGCCTTTAATTGATAGGACAGGTAAGTGTGAAGGGGGGAGAGAGAGAGGGAATGACATGCAGCAAAGGGCCACAGGCTGGAGTCAAACCCGGGCCGCTGCATGGGGCGCCTGCTCTACCCACTAAGCCACTGACACCCCGCTGGTCCATTTTTAAAATAATGTGAATTATTTAAAGCAAAATACAACTTAAAACACAGCACTTTTTATTCTATGTATTTATTTAGTCTTTCCTGGTCTTATATTAAGTGTCTTACATTAAGGATTTTATTTGACTGTATACTGACAGGCTGGCGCTCAAGTGGATGCCCAGGACAAAGACCTGAGGACTCCTCTGTTGGAAGCAATCATCAACAATCACATTGAGGTGGCCCATTACCTCGTCCAGAACGGTGCCTGTGTCTATCATATTGTGAGTGTCTGATAGTGGCTGAAATTAAAAACAAAAAGATGCGAGGTTTCAGGGGTTTGGTTGATATGAATTTCAGTCCTTGTTTGTTTTTAGGAGGAGGATGGGTATACTGGACTTCACCACGCAGCCAAGCTGGGAAACCTGGAGATTGTCAACTTGCTTCTGGAAACGGGGCAGGTTGATGTGAACGCACAGGTAAAAATAGAGCCAGAATGTCAATGCCTAGTTGCATAAAACCACTTAGACTAAGGTTGCCCTCAAATTTTTTTATGTAAGGATGCCTTAGAAAAAATAGTTGCATAAAATCCCCTTAAAGATTTCCTTAGGATGTTGTATAAAATAAAAACCTTTTAGTCTTTAAGTTTTTGCTGTTAGTAATTGAGTATTCCTTAAGTAGCTATAGCTAGAGGGTCCTAAGTAACCATTTCCCTTAGAAAGCTTTGAGGTCTTTTAAAAGTTCAGTAATCTGTGGAACATAAGACCATTGCTGTATCTATGGTTATTAAAGAGGAGGAGGAGATACCAAGATCCATTTTCCAGGACAGGGAAAACCCACTGGACAATAAAAGTGATGCACAACTTGTTGGCAAGTATACATCGTCAGTCTGTCTTCAAAGTCTCTACAAACTTTAACCTGACCTTAAATGCCAAACTGCTACTTTATATTACTGATATTAATTAGGCCTGAACAATTAGAAAAATGTGTAAACTGTGTCGGTGTAGGTATTTTAAAATCATCAAAAAACCTTAAGTCTGTGATAAATGTCAGTTTGTGCATTACATCCGTCTCACTGGAGGTGACTGATTAAAGTGCCAGTGCCTAACTCTGATTCTTCCTGTTGATCTGTTTCAGGACAGTGGCGGCTGGACCCCAATCATTTGGGCTGCAGAGCACAAGCATGTAGCGGTGATCAAAGCGCTGCTTAACAGGGGGGCTGATGTCACCATTAATGATAAGGTAAGTGTCTACTAGCTAACACTGAGGTTACATAAAAAATGTGTCTCTGCTAAATTTGTAGCAGCTCCTCTGAATATGTCTGCTTTCCACGACTTCCACCAGCTCTGTTGTCTTGTACCAAGTGTTGACAGAGACGAAATGGATGTAGTTGTATGAAAATATTTCAGGTTAATACTTTAAACAGTCCTCTCCCTCCCTTCAGGAGCTGAACGTGTGTCTCCACTGGGCGGCGTATGCAGGTAATGTAGACATCGCAGAGCTCGTGTTGAACTCTGGCTGTTCGCTCAGCTCGGTTAACATGCACGGAGACACCCCGCTCCACATCGCCGCCAGAGAGGGTTACTTGGAATGTGTTACGTGAGTCATTGTCAATTATGAGCTTTATTTAGTGTACGACTCACATGTATGCTTTTCTTTAACTCACAAATATTTACATTTCTCCTCTTGCAGGTTGTTCCTGTCCAGAGGTGCAGACATTGACATCATGAACAGGGAAGGAGACACGCCTCTTAGCCTTGCGCGGGCCGACACGCCAGTGTGGGTGGCACTCCAGATCAACAGGAAACTGAGAAGGGGAATAACCAATCGTATGCTTCGGACTGAGAGAATCATCTGCAGGTAGGTGTAGTGTTATCTTAATGGTGCCTTGTCTTTAAAGGAGCTGTCTTATAGGGAACCATGAGTTCAAAAATGCAAACTCATTTCCAGGTTTTAGGGCTCATTCCTGGGCCACTCTATATCATATGCAGGAGCCTTTAACTTAATATTTCTACTTATGGTTGTTTACTGTTTTTCTGCCTGATTTAACACCTTCCTTTTTGTTCCAGCGACATTGCGCAGGGCTACGAGAACGTACCGATCCCCTGTGTGAACGCAGTAGACGACGAGGGCTGTCCTTCAGACTACAAATATGTTTCAGAAAACTGTGAAACTTCAGCAATGAACATAGACCGCAACATTACACACTTACAGGTAGAATATTGACCAGGCTGTTGCTTAAACTCATTATTCTCTCTGTTTCACACACAGTTATTTTACCTGCAATGAAAACTGCATCTCATGCTGTTTTAATTATCTTTACTTCAGCACTGCAGCTGCACTGACGACTGCTCTTCTAGTAACTGCCTCTGTGGACAGCTCAGTATCCGCTGCTGGTATGACAAGGTAAATACAAGTGTTGTTTTGCAGCCACGTCATAGAAGTGATCTGCTCAGAAACCTGTAGGATTTAATCAAAAGCCGTTAAAGTTTTTCCATGAGATCAATAACGATTTCCGTAATCTGCAACTATTAGCAGAAACTTTAATGAGGTTTGGTTTGAGGATTCATTGGTTACAGGAGAAACTAAAAGAATGAAAATAATCTCAACCTGTTGTATAATTTTTTCTAGGACCAGCGGCTGCTCCAGGAATTCAACAAAATTGAGCCTCCTCTTATATTTGAATGCAACATGGCGTGTTCCTGTTACCGAACATGCAAGAACAGGGTGGTGCAGGCCGGCATCAAGTGAGAACTTTAAGTTTAACTCCCTTAACATTTATCAAGTAGTTATTAGTAATGATCACTGATGTAATGATCACTGATGAGCAAACCTATCACTTAAATTTAATTGCTTTGTGAAGTTATTAGCTGGCAGGAAAAAGCTGTCGGGGTGTTAAACCCTCATCATTTTCTTTTTGTCCCTCAGAGTTCGTCTTCAGCTCTACAGGACAGAGAAGATGGGCTGGGGAGTTCGAGCTCTGCAGGATATTCCCCAGGGGAGCTTCATCTGCGAGTAAGAGCGGACTGTCCTCTCAGCACACAACAGATTGGTTTTTATTTTAAAAGTCAGAGGTTAGACATTAAGCTTCATTCCTCTGTGCACACAGATATGTTGGGGAGCTCATCTCTGACGCAGAGGCAGATGTTAGAGAAGACGACTCCTACCTGTTTGACCTGGACAACAAGGTGAACCTTTTTAAAATGTGTTTTTGGTTTCTGCCGTATAAAAAATGCAGAAAAGAGACGCCTGTGACGGAAAACATGGGAAAGAGCATTTGGCAGATTTCTTGTCTTACCATCGAATCGCAATACGTCTCTAACAATGTTTTTCTCTTGTGTCTTCTGTAAAGGACGGGGAGGTGTATTGTATAGACGCCCGATACTATGGCAACATCAGCCGATTCATCAACCACCTGTGCGACCCAAACCTCATCCCTGTACGTGTGTTCATGCTGCACCAGGACCTGAGATTCCCCCGCATCGCCTTCTTCAGCTCCAGAGACATTCTCAGCGGACAAGAGCTGGGGTGAGAAGCTGAGATGTTTCTGATTACCTGCTCAGAGCCTTTTCCTTTACTTACCTCCTTTACTTAACTTGGCTGGTCTTGTCTGTTTCATTAGATTCGACTATGGAGACCGCTTCTGGGACATTAAGAGCAAGTATTTCACCTGTCAGTGTGGATCAGAGAAATGCAAACACTCAGCTGAGGCCATCGCCTTGGAGCAGAGCCGACTGGCTCGACTGGAGGCTTGTCCGGAATCGGGAGCAGACTGCGGGATGACGATGCTGGGAAACTCTTAAAACACTTACCACGGGGCCTTTGGATTAACATCATTGATTTCAATTGAAAGACACCTTGAGGGTTTTATCATGTTTAAGATTCTGATTTTGATGCATGGTGCTGTTTTTTCTACTTGAAATACCCTTTTTTTTCTCCCAGACTGGCCACCTTAAAGCTGATCATTTCCCCCTCTGGTAGAGGGCATGGGCCTTAACATACTTTTTAACTGTTTGGGCATAAAACACAACAACCTGTGTTTCTGTACATATGGTATGTTTACTGTACATCACTATGTTTGTTTGCCTTGACACATGAAGTGAGTCTGCCATCATGTTACTGTCATACATACGTATTTTTTTTCTGTTGTGCCAAATTAAATAACGCAGTGCATTTTTGATACAGTACAGTAATGGGTCAACCCTTAGCCCATCCTGGACTCAGTAAGGACCTGAGGGACAGTGTTGTGTTTTAATGATTGTTAGCTTTATTTTCTTTATTTTTATACGCGCTGTTTTCTTTATCAGATTTAGTGTAATAAATTAGTCCATGAGATGATCTTTGGGCTCTCTTATTAAGTGTGTCATTCTCGTTTTAAAGCTGTGCTCACTGGTTTACAGTATCACAAGTAACCCCATAATCCTGCCCTTTCTCCTATGTCATTATATAAAGAATGTAGGTTGTCAAGTTTTCAAAGAGAGGTGAGTTCTCATTAAGACAGTGTATTATTGTGTTATTATCAGCAGGGGGCATTTACAAGCCACAATGTGACACCAGAGAGAGATGTGAAAGGAAGATGTCCCACTCTGCCAATAATTATGTGTCCACAAGTCTCTTTGAATTGCAGACAGGGACTTCTAGTTCACTGAAAAAAAGCGTTCCAGTGGTTATCCCAGCCAATCTTCTAGGTCATTAAATAGCTTTTTCTCACATATACATAAATAAAGCCTAATGATCACACTTTTTTTTCATCAAAGGAGGAGCTACTTTCAGGAAGTCTTTAAATCATGAGACACTTTCACCACCCACTGTTCATCATATACATATTCGTTACTAAATTTAGGTAACTTGATTAAGCACAAGTAATTTACATGCAAGAGCAAGATAAGCTGAGATAATGAAGGTGGATTTTAACACAGAGCCTCACTATAGGTAAGGACATTAAGATCATAAAGGCAGTGTCACTTTAAAGCCCCAATCATTTCACTTTATATTGTGCTTTAATGATGCATACCATTTTATTAAGGCACTTGTAAATCATCAGATTACCACAAACACTACACAGTGAAAGTGGAACCTCTGGGACACCTGAGAGTCATTGGCAGCTGTGAAAGAAGTATTTAGACCTTTGATGTCAGTGAAACAGCTTTGGGGGGCATTGAACACCTAATCTGCATTTTTGTGATTTTTTTTACACACCAATTTGTTTTTTTCTACATCAATTCATGGTGGAAATGTCTTTAATTTTTGTCAAAGTTTAAGTTCCTCCTACTTTCATGTTTTTATTGGTGTGGACAAATGCACATGTTCTAAATAAGAGGGACTTGCTCCCTGCGTCCCCCTGAAATGTATGCCTATGCATACTATACTGATGGATAATAATTACTGAGGCATTAAGGTGTATATTACTTAATTTTTTTTAAAATTTATGTACTTTATTAAATCAGAAAGTCAAGTGAGACCTAAGTAAAAAAAAAATACAATAAAACTGATGATGATAATGAAGATGACGTAGAAATATAGTAATGAAATAGCAACGATAAAATATACATTCTAAAACATCCTTAGTGTAGACAGGCTTTGAAAAGGAATGAAATACAAGCATGTTAAATAAAAATGTATGTAGATGTGTAAAAAAAAAAAGCATGACAAATTATAAATTGCATTCTAAAAGATCCTTGGCATAGTAGTCCAGTCAACCTAGGAGAAATTGTATAGTAATGTTTCAGTTTTTATTAGTCCTAATACCCTCCTGCATCATACATTAAAAGTAAACCTTCATGCATTTAATGGAACATTATTAATTCAAGGTCACAAACAAAGTTTCAACATTTTGCAGTTAGTTCTGGGTGAAATTATGTTAATATTGGAGGGTCTATGTACACCTATACAACATATCTTTTCTTAAGTTTTTGGGGTCAGTTTTTTAAATAAAGCACTTTTTAAAGATGATATTCTGATTTATTGTACCTGTATTCTGACGAGTGGTCAACAGGTGGTAATTTGTTGTGAGTTTGAGAGCGATGTAGGGGATTGTAGTGCAGGGGAGGTGAAGGGTTGGGCTGACATGGAAATACAGTGTGTGAGCTGACTGGTTCTATGAGCAACTTTTCTTTTATTTAAATTTAGATAAATTGCAAAAACTATATGGAACGGCGTGCCTCAAAGTAATGTAACCAGAAAAAGACATCCTGTACAACTTAGATGGCAAAGGTAACACATATGGTGCACTAGTGGAAACTTACATTGGTTATGGTTGAAAACATCATGTGAAATTGGTGGTGATGGTGTTTTATGGGTCCAGTCCATGGGCCCGGGTCATACTTTTCACTAATTGGTACCACCCAAAGTGGCAAATTCTAGTTTGGTATTATCAAAAACTCAAGCTGCTTCAAGTTTGGTCTCATTTAAGGTCTCAGTCTGAGTGCTGATATACATCATTGTTGTTACATGCTGAAAACTGAATGATAATATGCTTTAATTATAACCTAATTTTACTGACTTTGTTTGCATTCAAAAAGATCATTTTGGGGTACGCATACCCCTAAGTGCATATGTACATTCAGAACAGGTCATATCTGATGGTAATATGTGAAAGAACATCCCAAAAAACTAATGTTTAGACATATATTATATGAAAGTATCATATTCAGAAGCAGACATATGCACCTTGAGCCACTAAATATGTAATGGTATACTTTCAATATGTTGTTTGAATGTCCGAAGAGATCACAAAAAACTTGAATGATTACTTCTCCCTGGGTCAAACGACAGACTGACTGGACTATGGGTATAAAATGGAATACAAATACGAGCATATTATGTAAAACAGGCAACCTCAAATCAGTAGAGCATCTAACCAAATGTTGCAGCTGGTCAAGGTGAACCTAATTTGAATATGCTGCTGGGTAATGAAGTCTACTAAAAGTGTAAAATACATATAGTGGAGTAAAAAGTACAATATTTACCTCCAATATTTAGCTAAGTAGAAGTATAAAGCAGCATAAAATGGAAACAAACCTCAAAACTGTACTTAACCACTAGCTACTATTAACCCGCCTTGCCCACAGGGACATTTTTACTCTTTGCAAGGTAATAGTTCAGTTTAATTTAATCAGATTAAAGTGATTCTTCAAGGTTCAGGTTTATATAATCCCATCAGAGTGATTCCTCTTTAACAAACGATCTTTGTGGCACGCGCAGGTGCGCATCCCTCAGCAGGTGCCGTCGTGTCGTCACTGCCTAGTTACAACTGCCAGGAAGAAAAGATTTCCTAACTTAGTCACCGCGGCTGCAAAGGCACTACGGAGCTCGTCTTAAACGCACTTTTAGCTGTTTTTTAAGAAAGTTTTACGATTATTTTAAACAACAGAAGTTGTGTTTTAGAAGTAAGGAACAAACAGGAGGAGGTTAAAGGCGGACAATGGGTAAAAAACAGGAGGAAACCCCGGACTCTGAGTATGGTGAGTTGACATCGCCCGTTACCTCAGAGCGCTCACCGTTTACATTACGCTAATATCTCGAGCTAATTAGCTAGCTAAAGTTAACTAACCAACCACTTTTAACAAATTCTAACGTCGTATTTATTTTTAGTTTTTCCTACAAAGGTCTTCACAAATGTCGTTAAGCAAGAAAACTTTGTAATATTCAATTTAACCAAATTATTTCTTGAGAACGGTTGGTTGATGTATCAGCTAGTTTTAACCTAAGTCACAGTACGTTACATTTCATAGGGTGAACTCAGGTGATTTGTTGCATCAGGTAAAATGGCACAAATACGTTTTTACATCTTGGGCTTTTTAAATATTAGCAGCCAGTCACCACACATGTTATTGCATTGTTTCTATCAATGTCCTTTACATGACAATTATTTTTATTAGTCTGAGATACCTAGGATGGGTAGAGCTTAAAACAATAAGAGTAAAACAACAAAAATGATTGTAAGATGTTGCATTTTATTAACTTTTTGACTTATAATCACAATATTTTCACTATACACTTAACTGTTTATAGGAAAGGGCTTTGAGTGCAGGTAAAATGGGACAAAATTTAAGTTAAAATGGGATATTTTTCGGAGTTGAAAGCAGCAGGTTATTTTAGGCTACCAGGTGCCATAAAATCATGATTTATGCTACTGTGTGCCACCCTGTTATAATACAGACATTTCTGTTGTTTAGTAAGCATTAAAGATGATGCCGTGAGTCCAAGTCAACCACAATAGTCCAGTGTTAGCCATAATTGTTGCACACACACACACACACACCTTTATTGTAGACAATATGGCACCAAGGAAACAGGAAGCAAAAGAACATGGAAAGCATGGCAGAAAAGTTGGATAATCTTTTTTAATGATTAGCCACAAGTTACATTAATGATTTAATGAAGTCATGACTGAAGTGATAAATGGATGTAACCATTAAAAGAACTGTCTCATTTTACTTTACCAGCTGTCCCATATTACCTGAAAATGGGGTACTTGATGTGTTTGAAGGTTCAAAGTTTCTAAAAATTTCCAAAATATTTTGCTTGGCAACATATTTTCTTTATAGAAATATAGCAGAGAACTATAAGAAGTTCTAAAGGTAACACTAAAGGTAGTCTTCCCAGTGTCACAAATTACCTGACTTCACCCTAGGTAATTATCAGCCTATTTAAATCAGTATCTTACAACAGATTTGTTTCTTTGTCTATCTAAATCCAGCTTCTGAATTTACAGTTTATGAGTGCCTTAAATACTTCCTGAGAGACAAACTGATATCTTTCCCTAAGGCCAAATGTAGGCTTGTCAGCTGATGTGTTTGTGAGTCAGCTTGTGTACGTGAGAGCCAACGCTGCCATCAATAAACATGGTTTAACCGTTCACATACAACAACATGATGTCGTAATATATTGATAGCTACGTCGAAACGTCCCAGACACTTGACCTGCAAGAGAAGAAAGGCTTAGAATAAACAGGAAGCTCTCAGTTGGCTAGAAATGAATCTCAGAGTTTAAAAATTAAACAAATATTTTTTAAAAATTTCTTGCGTACTTTACTAAGAGGAACATTTTTTTGGCTCACATTTAATTTCCAAAATAAGTCCACAACATGTAATGAGGGGTTACAAGTTCACATTGTTAATTTTAAGGGGTCACAAGCCAGAGAGGTCGGGAAACACTGCATTAATTTAACCACTCTGCAAACTGAGCTTGATGATGATTCTTAGATAGTAGTTGTTGTGGTTACAGTAATTATACCCTATATAAATACATGGTGGTGGCAGTCAGACAGCCATGATTGTCTTGTAAAGATTTTTTTTTATTGTTGTGAACAGGTATTCATAGCTAATTAGAAATCA